TGCGTGTATCTAACATGCTCGTGCTGTGTTTTAGTCATTTAAAGCGCTTGTAGTCGTGTTTTATATCTAAAATGCTCGTGCTGTGCACTCGCGTTTCAAATATGATAAAACACTCCATTATCTACACTTTCACATTTCCTCGTTCATGCAGGTAAAGGGTTAAAATATTTCGTTGAAGCTGTACCAGCTGTACTGGTCGCTCCGATGGACGAGAGTCGGTCGTTGAAGCCAGTAAAAAGTTTACCTAAGCAATTAAATAACTGCAACAGTTACAAAAAATGGAATAAATGTGCAATAAAAGGGCAACTAATGAATTATTTTCAAGCGCAATGCTCTGCAAGTTCTTTGCAATATATTCGTGCCTGAATGAATACATAATTGGCAAAGTTTCTTAGTTTTGTATGTTTCTTAATTAGCGCGCGGAGAAAACTTTTATCTTTAAAGAGGCTGTCAAGTCCGTTCTGCTCATGCGCGTGTTTTGTTTACATTTTTGTTTCAAACAATAGATCATTTAATTAAAATTCCGAACTGTGGGCCCACAAGTTAGCTCATTACGCATTCAGAATATATCACGAAGGAAAAATTGAACTACTAAAACAACAATTTAGTCCCAAAACAAGAAATTTTAAATGGAAAATGCTATTAAAGAAGCACTTCTTACAGAGGTCTGTACAAAATATGACTGAAATTTGTACAAATTTTGTCCATTCCTTTGTATAAAGATGAACATCTTAACATTTTCAATCTTAAATTTTTCGTTTTGGAGCTAAATGTGTACAAATTTCAATCAAATTTTATCCATACCTCTGTAAGAAGTGCTTCTTAGCGTTTTCGATTTAAAATTTGTTGTTTTGGGGCTAAATTGTTGCTTTAGTAGTTCAATTTTTCCTTCGTGATATATTCTGAATGCACAATGAGCTAACTTGTGGGCCCATAGATCGGAATTTTAATTAAATTTTCTATTGTTTGAAAAAAAATGCATAGATATAGGAGACCTAGATTGCTGACTCGGCTGAAGAGGCGCGCCAAATATGAAAATCCAAGATGGCGGCTCAACTGGTCAAAAATCATAGGCAGTGCAAAGGAAAAACGATGTTTTTTGCATTTTACGTCCGCCTACTGTTTCCGATCCCGTTGAACCACCTTTTGGGGGGAAGAAGTAACTGGTGTGAAAGTTTTGGATGTATATTTGTTCTAATTAGTACAATTAACAATTTAAAATTCGACCGGGCAAGAATTGGCAAAGACAAAAAAGGCGCGAAACTGCCGATCTGGTTCTTTTCCTGTGTATTCCTTCAGTCTTTTACCCGTTTTTCTCAAGTAACGTGATATCTAACTACTCCAAAAGCTACTACTGTTTATTTTGTTCTTTCATTGTTATTTCGACCAAAATACAGCATTTTCGTCTGAAAATTCTAGGGCATTCTATTCTAAAATATCTGTTTTTTATCGAAAAGAATGCCTTGAATTTCGACCTGAATTGTGTGCTGAGTATAATTACAAGGCCAGATGTGGGGATTTAAAAGATGGTATTCGCTTGTCCTTCCATAAGTAAGTCTATGAAACACACATATTGTATATATATTTGTACACTATAATATACTTCATATAAACAGAATAGTTTAAGACTATTAAAATAAGACAGCTTTTAATAGCATAAAAACAATTTGTTTTGTAAATACAGTAATTTTGAGCTTGTTGCCTACAATATAAAACTGTTTACAGTTTTAATAAAAGAACATTAGACCAAAAAGAACTTCTTGTTTTTTTATGTCTGTGTTACATATATGCATGTTGACAACAACTTTGGGTCCTTGTCCTGTTCAAGGTCAAACAAATTTGAGTTTTGTTCACATCAGTGAATCAAAATTATATAATAACTACAGTGAAACACGCAATTTGATTGGTCAATAGCCGTGCAGGATGAGACAATCTTGCACGGAAAAATTTTTAAATTCTTCGCGGGATTTTCAAAATGGCCGAAAATCAAAACATTTTAAGGTGTGAAGACAGTGAAGTTTGTAATATATTAAACGAGCGGCAAGTGAACAGTCGAAGGTTTGCAGCAACTACAGACAAGGAAGTTGACGAGTTGGTGTCAAATGCACAAGCTCATAGCACAAAAGAAAAAACAATATACGCCGTCAACATTTTTAAAGGTACACGATAGTTCATTTTTAACATTCTCCATTTACAAGCAAAATAATTAAACAAATTCATAAGAAAATACATATCAGTAACATTATTTTTTTAAGAATGGGCTAAAGTCAACCTCGTACCCAGGGTATTTGCTCTTGGGGAGCGAAATACCCTGGTATGGCCTGGTCACGTGACTCGCGGATTTTGCGTAAAATGGCGTATTGTTTACTAGGGTCGGGGGAGTGAGTATATATTGTCACAATTAATTAGATCGCTCTATAAATATAAACAATATCCATTGAATCTTCAAAGAATCGTGAAAAGAACTGCAATTAAAAATTAATATTTATCGTGATGTGACTTTCTACTCTATAATCTAGTGTCGAGTTACAATTCAAGCAAGTTGGATCAGATTTCAACTTATAGACTTGTCACTGAGAAAGCACGCGTGGACGGCGTGGCAATATAAAGCAGTACAAGAAAATATATATATATCTAGACCGAACAATGTGGTTATTCATTTATTTAACTGTTAGTAAAGTATTTCTGGATACTCGAACCAAAAGAATTTACTTATTGATGAGATGTGGCATGGAATTGCAACGAAATAGCGAGATCTTTTGATTTCCGAAATATCGCCAAGACGCCAACTGTATCCAGATTGTTGACTATAAAAGCTTATAAAACTTCCTGCATTGACCCTTGGCATTGCTGAAACTCAACAATCATGGTATATGTTAAAGTCTAGCTGTCTGTTGAAAATCTACAGTATTAAAATCATACATCAAAGATAAGTCAAACGACAGTACACTATATTATGTCTTTCAATGGGCACTTTATTATATTAATAGTAGTGTTTACAACATTTATAAATTTTATAAACAGCTTTCGTTTTGACACAACTCACACAAGTTTAAATTTTTTGCTTTATATATATTCTTAATAATTTTATTAATTTATAAATGCTTTGTGGAATAGAATACCGTTATTTTTTAATGGACAGCTTGTATCGTCTTTATCATATCCAGAATTGCTTGTAAATGCATATATCACTATGACACTAATCACACTATCAAATAAATATACAAATATATTTGAGAGCCTTGTTTTTTAGAGCATATTAATGACTAATGAACTAGAAATAAACAGATCATTCACAATGAAAACGTTAAAAATGTTAGTAGAAGTAGAAAACTCGAAAATTTATGTTTATTCGTATGACAGTCTGTGTGCGTCTGACACTGTAAATTTGTGATATATAGATTTAGTATATTAGGAAAATATTATGATTGATAAAGACCAAGAAAAAGGCTAAAGCCTGACTATAATTACCGAATACTATGTACTAAACCCAAAATTTTATAATCACTGACAGACTTTCTCTGTTTGGCTAGTATCAAATGTTTACATTTGCTAATATTGGGCTCTAGTCCCAGACAATACAATACTGTTCCTTTCAATCTTATAAACAAGACCCATAGACGTAGTAACAAGTAATTAACTTAAATCGGTGCAAAGCATATAAACATTAATTACAAGAAAGGACAAATCTAATGGCGTATTTTAAAAACATTACATATGTAGAAATGACGACTGAAAAGCTCATAAAAAACGTTTGTTATAAAACCGCGCTCGAGTGTGAAAAGACGGCATTGAATAACAACACGAGAGAGCACTGTGAGTAACGATTTGCTTGGTTTCTTGACTTGACTATTGGTAAAAATGTAAGAATGTTCTTGTAAATTCAAAGCAAAGATAATAAAAAAAATTAGCAAGTATTTTGAACTTAATAATTCGCAAAATTTATGTTTTTAACTGTTAAACAAAATATCTCCACTGGAATCATGTAATTTGATACTTTCCCCACACCCCCTCGGGCGCTAAATTTTGGACGAGGCACGTGACCAGCCCATACCAGGGTATTTCCTAAATACCCTGGGAACGAGGTTGGGCTAAAGTCCGACAAATTACAATGGAGCTACACGAAATGGACAACGCGACGTTAGACAACCATTTAAGATTGTTTTACGCCGAGGTCAAAAACCAAGATGGGGACGACTACAGCAAGTCGACTCTACTCGGTCTAAGGTATGGTTTGGAAAGATATCTAAACTCTCCACCACACAACAAAGGTATCACAATATCTGGAAACCCAGAATTTAAGAAGTCAAATGTTGTCCTCAACGCCAAACTAAAATCCCTGAAGCAAGACGGCAAGGAAAATGTACAACACAAACCTCCGCTTGAGCCAGAAGATCTCCAAAAGCTGAAAATCAGCGGTGTATTTGATTGTTCAAGTCCCCTTGGGTTGCTGCGAAACGTGTGGTTCAGTACGGTGTTGTTTTGGTGTCGTCGTGGTCGTGAAGGTCAACGAAACCTACCAAGAGAGAGCTTCGTCTTCGCACAAGATCCCACCGGCGAAGAGTACGCGACGATGACACACAGTGAGGCATCCAAAAACCACCCGGGTGGAATAAAGGATAGCGAGAGTTTCCAACATATTGGCCGAATGTACCAGACAAACGAGGAAAACGACGGATACAGCGCATTGAAGCTCTACATCAGCAAGTTATTAAATCCGGCGTGTCGAAGCATTGTTTCAGTATCCGAAGCGTAATTGGAAACCAGACGATAAATACTTATGAAAATCGCCCTCTTGGCGATATGATGAAAGATATCAGTACAGCTGCTGGTTTATCCATAGTTAATGGAGCGAGATGGTTTGGAAGCTTCCCCTATTTTGCGATGACGTAATTATTATGTTAACCGATTAAATTCTAAGGTCACGTGACGACGAACGACTACAATCGAAAAAGCGCCAAAATATGATAATATAATATCGTAGTAATTTTGATACACGAATGCCCAATTGCGCTTTTTACAATTGTTTTCACAGTAGGCGGTACAAAAACGTGAGTTTGTTTCAAATTCCAGTTCCTCGTAATTCAGACAGCGAATTTACTTTTCATCGTAAGGAAGAAGCACGAAACGGTTGGATTAACGCGATATTACGAACGAGACAGTTGGATGCAAACTTGAAGACACAGATCGAAAACAACAACATACATATTTGTGAGAGTCATTTTAAAGAGGAGTACATTGAAAACTTTTCCAAAAGGAAGTCCCTCCAAACTGGTTCAATTCCAACAGAAAGTCTCCCCGTCAAAAGCTTCGATCATCTTAGCACAAGCTTCACTAGTGCGCCGAGAAAAGAACCAGCTCCAAGGCATGTTTCTCAAGAAACTACAATTATATATGCCTCTCTTGATAAGTTCGATGCATATTTGAAAAAAGCTGGAAGGTACCCATATTTTCAAGGTTGGAATTGGTTCAAAGAAGGAAATAACACTGTTATTGAGTTTAAAGAAAGTGAGTACTTGATTGCAAAGTTTTCTGTACGTGTCGAATCTACTCTTAATTATATTGTTCTTGTTTATGGCTGGGCATTGCCCAATGATCATCCCATATACGTTTCAAACGAGCGTTCTTTGCAGTGCTGTAATTTTAAGACGCTTTGTAACGAAATTGTATCTCTGGGTATTTGCAAAGAACTCTATTTTCCCTGAAGTCAAGCAAATCAGTGAAAACACAACTTGTTCCCCTGTTACCAAATGACTCTTCCCCACAATATCGTACAGTTGAATACTGTCGTGCGCTTTCATGTCGTGTTCTGGTTTCATCCATACTAAGTGACAGTAAACAATTGCAATGCGAATCGTGCAGTCGAGAATCAAACAGCAATGTAGGTAACTTCAATGTGGCTTCTATTAAGTGTAAAACACCACTGTCATGCCTTTCCAAAGAACAACTAATTGCAACTGTAAAAGACACAAGGGTGAATTTGAAAGAAGCCAAGCTGAAGTGTGCACAACTCGAAAGGAGAGTACAACGAATGGAGAATGAGATCAAACATCATGGTATTAGAATAGAAACTGGTTTGGAGAAAGAACTTACAAGTATCATCACTAACACATCATTAGAAGCAACTCCACACATGAAACTTGTATGGGAGCAAAAGAAGAAAGCACTGAATCAACAATCAAACTTTGGTAACAGGTGGCATCCACATTTTATACGGTTCTGTTTGTCTATTTATTCAAAGTCGCCTATTGTTTACCAAGAATTGAGAGATTCTGGAACAATGCAGTTACCTAGTTCCAGAACTTGGAGATCCTACAGAAACAACTTTAAACCAGGAGCAGGGTACTTGCCTGAGAACATCAAGTCATTGATTTCCAGAACAAAGGGTTTCCTGGATAAAGACAGGTGGATTGTTGTCATGTTTGATGAGATGAAGATTAAATGTAATTTAGTGTTTGATAAACATTCTGGACGCCTGATTGGATTTGTGGATCTCGGTGATCCAGATATCAACTATTCAACATTTGATAAAATTGAACCAGCTACCCATGTACTTGCTTTCTATGTCAGGGGAATAACCACTAAATTGCAGTTTATGCTTGGTTACTTTTTCACCCGAGATGTGGTCTCCTATCAATTAATGCCACTTTTTTGGCGTGGTGTTGCTATATTACAACTTAAAGCAAACTTGAATGTTATTGCTGCAGTCAGTGATGGGGCTTCACCAAACCGCAAATTTTATCAACTCCACATTTATATTGGTGAAAAACTTAACAACCAGAAAGTTGTGTATAAAACAAAAAACCTCTTTGCCCCAGGAAAGTGGATTTGTTTTTTTGCTGATGCTCCACATCTATTAAAAACGGGTAGAAACTGCTTGCTTAATTCTGGTTCTGGTTTGAAATCAAGGTGCATGTGGAACAATGATCAATTTTTATTGTGGAACTATATATCAGATTTATATTATTCTGATCTGGAACTGGGGCTACACCAACTTCCTAAGCTAACAATTGAACATATCATGTTAACATCTTATTCAAAGATGAGAGTAAATCTTGCTGCCCAGGTGATTTCTAGATTTGTTTATATTTTTAAATAATGTTTATATAGTCCGTAATTCTGAAATTGGAATAGGTTTTGTAACATCATGAGCAACAGTTTTATATCGAAATGTTTTCTCTATTTTAAACCCAATAGCAATTAAATCGTCACATGGAGTCCACAGTCCTCCTCTTGAAAGTGATAAAATATATTCATTGTCAGGTCGTTTCATTGATTGCAGCAGATCCTGAAGTTCTTCTTTATTTGTTAATGTACTTTCTAACATGGATTTCTTTCTAAATTTGCTCGTCCTGAACATTTTCGAAATGACTGATCCAATCAAGTAAGAAAGGGGACCATGTTCACTTTCATTCACTTCAGGTATATCTTTAGTTTGTTCACTAGTTTGGCTCTTGCAAGTTGCCAAAACGAGTAACTCGGGTAAATGGATAAACAACAGATTCACAGCGATTCTAATTTGCTCGACTGACAAGTTTCTCAGGTTCTTTCGACAAGAGTTTGTATAGTTCACTTACCAAAGTATCTTGATTCGATTTCCTGATGAAACGTCGATGAAGTTTATCGAGAACGTCAACACAAAACGAAGATGGCTTTAGATTCTTACAAATAATAACGATTTCCTCCCCATATAAATTATCCTTGATTTTAGAGTTAGCTTTTTTAAACAAATCCTCTACAATCGCTTTTGAAATGGTTGGCTTGGTTGCAGTGCTAGCGCTGTTGTCATCTTTGCCATCATTTGTCTCAAGGAGCGTATGCTTTGATCGTATATGACGAGTGAGACCGCCTTTTGATTTGCATATTTTCGTACAATTCGGACACGGATGTTTTGGTGGCATTTCAATCTCCTGAACGGCATCTTCAACCTCTTTCTCGAAGTCCTTGTCCTCATTAAAATAGTCCAAGTGTTCGTTTATCACATCAACTAACACATCAATAGTGCCTTTTCATTTTCTGCCGCTAAAGCTTCCCCACTTTCAAACATTTCTCCCATGGTTTGCATTCCGTCTTCGCTAATAGTCGCCATATTGGTCACAACGCCGTAGTGGTTCGTAGTCATGTGACCACAAAATTGAATAACATAACATAATACCGGAAGTAAACGAGCTTCCAAACCATCCGCTCCATTAACTATGGTTTATCCAAGATCTATACAAACCACTGTGTAAGAGCCACTTCAATCACGCTTTGGTCAAATGCTGGCTTAACTAACCGCCATATCATGTCAATTTCGGGCCATCGCAATGAGCAGTCCTTGCAGCACTACAATCGTAGACCATCTACATCCCGGCTAAAGCGCTGCAGTGAAGTATTATCTGAAGCTCTGGGCAATGAAACTGGTCAATCTGATCGACATTTTGCTATCCGTTGAAAGGACCGTTTGCTTACCGTTGAAAGGACCAATTCGATGTCAAGTGCGACGACAACTCTCACTTCACAATCGATTGAGATCGACAATCTTCCAAACTTTGGCTCTTTATTTAGCGTTTGTTCAATCGGAAATGTTAACGTTAACTTTAATAAGCAGCAGTGAACTGGAACTGTTATGTTATTATACTATATTTAAACGTTTTGCATGTATAAACTAATAAACTATAAAAGCATCACTGTATATTTCGTTGTAGTCTAGGACCTGTATATGAGTTTGTATGCGTTTAATTTACCACAGGTAATCTCAACTGTTTTAGGGTAAAATGACCATGGCGGTCAACATGGCATATGTGCCAAAACCTGAATCCGGGACGAAAGTCCTGAAAATGACCCCGCCCTAAAACGGCAGTGCCGACATAGCCCTAACTTCCGAAAAGCAAAAGCGATAGCCTTTCTGAAGTGCTTATAGTGTTTAGAAGGGTTGCTTTTAGGGGTGGTTATTGGAAGGAAAAATTTGTGTAAGTATAATATTTTACAAGAAAATGACCATTCATCACCCCAGGTAAATTGCTGATTATGCAGAAAATAACTAATATACATGGCAGAAATTAAATATCCTTATTTCCTAAAAAAATTACCATGGGATGAAAAACTATGCTTAATTTAATATAATTATTGTAGTTTTCATAAGGATTGTCATTATTTTCATTAAATATAATATATTTTATTTCACTTACCCCCCACGAAAACACGATTTCAGCCATATTTTGCCGTCTTGTTTGCTTTATACAGGGACGTAGCCAAGGGGGGAGTCGTGGGAACCGCGGCTCCCCCCTCCCCCCCTTTGGAAATATTTATTTCTAAATATATATACTCACTTCAAAATTAATTAAAGTAAAATTGATTCTTGACACAGTATAGCCGGTTACAGACAAGCAAGTTTTCTATGACAAGTTTTTATGTGACAAGTTTTATTTGCTCGTCTGTACGCGCACTTTGACATTTTTTCTATGACAAGTGTACATGTTCAAAAGCTAGCATGCTAGCTTTTGAACAAGTGCATTTGTCATAGAAAAAATGGTCAAAGTACAAATTTTGTTCGTCTGTAAGGGTCAACAAAGAAAACTTGTCAAAGTAATCTGAGAATGTATCGCGTGACGTGACGCCAGCACAGGCGGCCGTGTGCCGCCTTGCTCTGTAAAATTATATGATTTTGTCATTGCTTCTTTGGATTTGTAAACAAAATATACAACGAATTGGTAGATAAAGTCGACGTCTTGGAAAATCTGTGGTATTTTTCAAATTATCTTGGTAATTTATTGAGTAATTGGTGGATTTGTGCTTATTTTTGTACCGAATCTGACATTTCTCGTTGCCTTTTCCGCTCGCGCAAGCTAAACGGACGGTTAATCTCACGAGTGCAAACGAAC